TCTTTAGAGTTATTTCTAGAATGGCAAACACTGTTCCAAAAACCCGTGTCTAAAGTCTTGAATGCCTGCATCAGCTCTGTGAGTGAAGGACAGCAGAAGGAAAGGGCAATTGTACTGAGGAGTGAGAAAGTTACTGCCTTAAAAAAAAAAGTTACCGTCTTCACATGCCAGCGTGGAACCTAAATTAAGAGTTTTTTTTTTAAGCTTCAGAACTATAATGCCTTTAAAAAGTCTAATGATTTTTGGAAAGTTGGAGCAAAATGAATTCAATTACTGAATCACAGATGGTAATTAAAAATCAATGTATCTGTAATCAACTGTATTTATAGATTTTTTTCCAATGCAAAATATATAGGATTTACGAAACTCAAATGATTAGAAGCACAGGTTAGATTTAGGAAGGAAATCCGAGGAGCTTCCCTGGTGGTTCAGTGGTGGAGAGCCCTGCCAATGCAGGGGACATGGGTTTGTCCCTGGCCTGGGAGAATTCCACATGTCATAGAACAACTAAACCCATGGCGCCACAACGAGAGAGCAAACGTGCCGCAGCTACTGAGGACCACGCATCCTAGAACCCAGGCTCTGAAACCAGAGAAGCCACAGCAATGAGAAGCCCACACACTGCAACTAGAGAGGAGTTCCTGCTCACTGCAACTAGAGGAAGGAACACCCAGCACAGCCAAAACTAAATACATAAAAATTAAAAAAGGAAAAAATATCTGAACAGAAATGATTCCCTTCTGCAGATAACAGTGCTGTGCTTAGCTGCTCAGTCGTGTCCAACTCTCTGTGACCCCATGGACTGTAGTCCAACACCCTGGGTTCCTCTGTCCATGGGGATATTCCAGACAAAAATACTGGAGTGGGTTGCCATGTTCTCCCCCAGGGTATCTTCCTAACCCAGGGATCGAACCCAGGTCTCCTGCATTGCAGGCAGATTCTTTACCATCTGAGCCACCAGGAAAGCCCACAGACAACAATCAGTTCAGTTCAGTTGCTCAGTCGTGTCCGACTCTTTGCGACCCTATGGACTGCAGCACACCAGGACTCCCTGTCCATCACCAACGCCTGGAGTTTACTCAAACTCATGTCCATTGAGTCGGCGATACCATCCAAACATCTCATCCTCTGTTGTCCCCTTCTCCTCCCACCTTCAATCTTTCCCAGCATCAGTCTTTTCAAATGAGTCAGTTCTTCGCATCAGGTGGCCAAAGTATTGGAGTTTCAGATTCAGCATCAGTCCTTCCAATGAATATTCAGGACTGATTTCCTTTAGGATGGACTTGTTTGATCTCCTTGCAGTCCAAAGGACTCTCAACAGTCTTCTCCAACACCAGAGTTCAAAAGCATCAATTTTTCGGCACTCAACTTTCTTTATAGTCCAACTCTCACATCCATACATGACTACTGGAAAAATCATAGCCTTGACTAGACAGACTGTTGCTGGCAAAGTAATGTCTCTGCTTTTTAATATGCTGTCTAAGTTGGTCATAGTTTTTCTTCCAAGGAGCAAGTGTCTTTTAATTTCATGGCTGCAGTCACCATCTGCAGTGATTTTGGGGCCCCCAAAATAAAGTCTGTCACTGTTTCCACTGTTTCCCCATCTATTTGCCATGAAGTGATAAGACCAGATGCCATGATCTTATTATATCTGAAGTTATTTGGCTTCAGGTAAGTAGCAGAGAGAAAGTAACCTCTTGAGAAACCTGTATGCAGGTCAGGAAGCATCAGTTAGAATTGGACATGGAACAACAGACTGGTTCCAAATAGGAAAAGGAGTACATCAAGGCTGTATGTTGTCAGCCTGCTTATTTAACTTATATGCAGAGTACATCATGAGAAATGCTGGGCTGGAAGAAGCACAAGCTGGAATCAAGATTGCCGGGAGAAATATCAATAACCTCAGATATGCAGATGACACAACTCTTATGGCAGAAAGTGAAGAGGAACTAAAAAGCCTCTTGATGAAAGTGAAGGAGGAGAGTGAAAAAGTTGGCTTAAAGCTCAACGTTCAGAAAACTAAGATCATGGCATCTGGTCCCATCACCTCATGGAAAATAGATAGGGAAACAGTGGAAACAGTGTCAGACTTTATTTTTGGGGGCTCCAAAATCACTGTAGATGGTGACTGCAGCCATGAAATTGACACTTACTCCTTGGAAGGAAAGTGATGACCAACCTAGATAGCATATTAAAAAGCAGAGACATTACTTTGTCAACAAAGGTCTGTCTGGTCAAGGCTATGGTTTTTCCAGTAGTCTGTATGGATGTGAGAGTTGGACTGTGAAGAAAGCTGAGCGCTGAAAAATGGATGGTTTTGAACTGTGGTGTTGGAGAAGACTGTTGAGAGTCCCTTGGACTGCAAGGAGATCCAACCAGTCCATCCTAAAGGAGATCAGTCCTGGGTGTTCATTGGAAGCGCTGATGCTGAAGCTGAAACTCCAGTACTTTGGCCACCTCATGTGAAGAGTTGATTCATTGGAAAAGACCCTGATGCTGGGAGGGATTGGTGGCAGGAGGAGAAGGGGACGACAGAGGATGAGATGGCTGGATGGCATCACTGACTTGATGGGCATGAGTTTGAGTAAACTCCAGGAGTTTGTGATGGACAGGGAGGCCTGGCATGCTGTGATTCATGGGGTCGCAAAGAATTGGACACGGCTGAGCGACTGAACTGAACTGAACTGAAGTAGTAGGGAGGGAAGGCAGCTCCACCCATCAACAGAAAATTGGATTAAAGATTTACTGAGTGTGACCCTGTCCATCAGAACAAGACCCAGTTTCCCCTTCAGTCAGTTTCTCCTATCAGGAAGCTTCCATAAGCCTCATCCTTCTCCATCAAAGGGCAGACAGACTGAAAACCACAATGACAGAATACTAACCAATCTGATCACATGGATCACAACCTTGTCTAACTCAATGAAACTATGAGCCATGCCATGTAGGGCCACCCAAGACAGAATTCTTTGTGACCCCATGGACTGTCGCCTACCAGGTTCCTCCATCCATGGGATTTCCCAGGCAAGAAAACTGGAGTGAGTTGCCATTTCCTTCTCCAGGGCACCTTCCCAACCCCGGGATTGAACCCAGGTCTCCTGAGTTGCAGGCAGACGCTTTACCACCTGAGCCATCAGGGAAGCCCTACAGATAACAATGTGTTTTGTTAAATTTGGTTCTTTTACTATTAAAGCAATCAACATATATAAAATGAAGCTAGAGTAAGTTATACCCTAACTTTATCGTATTTTGTTTTTCATCACAGAAGTGCTTTTTAATTTGTGAAACATCAAGTCACACAATGTTCCACTATGTGAGTATGAAATTCGCTTAGTCTTGTCCGACTCTTTGCGACCCCACGGGCTATATAGTCCATGGAATTTTCCAGGCCAGAATACTGGAGTGGGTACCCTTTTCCTTCTCCAGGGGATCTTCCCAACCCAGGGATCAAACCCAGGTCTCCCACATTGCAGACAGATTCTTTACCAACTGAGCCACAAAGGAAGCCCAAGAATACTGGAGTGGGTAGCCTATCCCTTCTCCAGTGGATCTTCCCAATGCAGGAATTGAACCGGGGTCTCCTGAATTGCACTAAAAGTGTTAATAAATTGCTCATTTAAAAAATTACAGTTAGAATAATGTGCTTGTCCACATTTTTAATAGCACAGCTATCAGAATTCCAAATGATTTTTAAATGGCTATTTAGAACACATTAGGGTAGGGGTTATGTTTAGAGCTTGGATGTTGTTATTGAGTATTAGCCACGCCCTTCTCCAAGGGATCTTCCCAACCCAGGAATCGAACTCAGGTCTCCTACATTGCAGATTCTTTACCATCTGAGCCATCAGGAAAGTTTATGTATTTAGAGTTTGGATGTTCAGTTTGAGATTCAACAGCACACAGAGTCTCTGAGAAATAAATGTCCTTAATGAGAACTTGTTTGGGCAGCCTTTCCTTATACTTAGGGAGAAAGTCCAGTCTGGGACATCTGGGTCCCAGAGAGGTACCTTCTCCCTGGCTCACAGCGGGGGCCACTCATTCAGTTCCTGGATTCAAATGTTCCCTCAGGCACTTTGAGCTCTGAGACCTTGAGCAAGTTACGTGACTTTTCTGTGCCTTTCTTTCTCAGTAATTTGGGGACAACAGTGTCTTCGTAGGTTTGCTGGAGGATTAAACCAATTTACGTAAAGTTCTAGAACAGTTTATGACCGGTATGTAGTAAATCCTCAATAGAGTGAACAAGGATTATTATTGACCTTAGAAAGCACTCACTCTTTCTAAAGAATGGGTTTGAGTAAGTATCTTTTGAATACACTTGGCAGCAGAGAGAATCATTTTCAGTGAACAGTTAAAATTATTTGGATATAATAACTTCTCTTCAAAGCCCAGGCATCCATCGTTCAAGAAGAAAATAAAAAGACAAAGGGGGAAAATTCCTGGCCAAGGGACAAGTTGGGAGGATTGTTTTAAAGCAGTCATTGTGTTCAGGTGGCCTGGCGGGCTCCTGTAATCAGGGAGGGAGGGAAGGAGGAAACCAGAACCCATTGTGGGCCCAGAAAGTGGATGTCTTTTCAACTAAACAGATTGCTATCAGCCTCTCACAGCCGACGCTTATTCCTTTTTGCCTGGTCATTTCCTTTACGAGTGTCTGTAAGAACCACCCACTCGAGTGTTTCTCAGGATTATGGGTTTTTAGGTCAAACAGAAAGCCAGGGAGCGCCTGACACAGCCCTGCACTCGCAGTCACATTATACACCGGCTGGATGACATGGACCCCGCGGCTGGTGTGTGTCGCGTGGAGGCTGCTGTCCCTGGATCTGCGGAGGGTTCTCTCACAGTGTGGCCGGCAGCAACCAGGCATACAGGGTAAGAGCGTGGCTCTGAAGTCCTGAAGCTTTCCTGTTGGGCTGAAGGCTGAGTGTGGGAACCTCCCGCCCCTCCAATTCATTTCAGAAGCTGGACCAGCGGGCCGCCAGCATCCTTTGTCATCCTCGGCATCCATGATGGATGAGACACCGGAGCCCCCGGCCATGACTGTCCACCTCCTGGCCAACGCCGGGCAGGGCTTGCTTTTGCAGCAAACCCTGGATCGACTCCTGGATAGCATTTGCCCAGATATCCGTCTCTTTCTTGTGTCCGAGCGGGCCAGTCCAGTGAAATACTACGACAAGTGCCACTCCAAGCGGTCACGCTTCCCAGGGATGTCTGTTCTGCTTTTCTTGCAGGAGAACCTTGGAGAGGAGAGGCTCTTCCACGTGCTTGACTCCCTACAGCATTGGCCGTGGCAGTGCTACCCGGCTCAGAACGCCCAGGGAAGACCCTGCCCCTACCTTCTTGCCAATCAGGAATTCTACAGTCTGGACAGCCAGATGCCCATCTGGGGCGTGAGGCAGGTGCAATGTGGCGCTGAGATCCTGAGAGTGACCCTCTACTGCCGTTTTGATAACTATGAGGACGCCATCCGGCTCTACGCAATGATCCTGCAGAGAGAAGCCACCTTGCAAAAGAGTAACTTCTGTTTCTTCAGGCTCTACTCCACTGAGACCTTTGCCCTGCAGCTCTCCCTGAAGCAGCTGCCCCTCGGAACATCGGTGGACCCCAAAGAGGCTTCGGTGTTGCAGTTCAAGGTCCAGGAGATTGGCCAGTTAGTGCCTCTTCTACCCCATCCCTGTGTCCCCATCAGCCGCACCCGGTGGCAAACGCAGGACTATGATGGCAACAAGATTCTGCTTCAGGTATGTCTGCTTGGTCTCCGTGATCTCTAGATGCCCATGTAGCCGTGTGATTTGACAGCCAAGAGATGACGTAATGTCGTGCTTCTAAACCTTGTTTGCACACCAGAATCTCTGGGGAGCTTTCAAACCTTCTCATGTCATGACTTCACCCCAGATCAGTTAGACTGGAATCTTTGGGGGCACCCAGGCTTGGGTATTTTTTGAAAACTCCTTGGATAATGCTAATATGTAACTTGTAGCACAGTTGAGAGTCACTGATTTAATCAAATCCCCTCATCTGACAGATAAGGAAGTTCAGATGCTGTGAGCTGGTAGCTTACACAAGTAGTTTGCAGGAGACTCAGACAACATCCCATATTTCAGATTTTCCTTTACCCATGCTCCTCAACTAGACACCGATATTTTGCCCACTCTTTCGGTTCAGAAATTTCGTTAATTCCTTCCATGTGAACCTAAGAAAGCTGAAGTTATAATTAAAGTTGGGAATGTTAAGTATGTTGGACTTCCCCAGTGGCTCAGTTATAAAGAATCTGCCTGCTAATGTAGGAGACGTGGGTTCGAGCCCTGGGTTGGGAAGATCTCCTGGAGAAGGAAATGACAACCCACTCCAGTATTCTTGCCTGGAGAATCCCATGGACAGAGGACCATGGTGGGCTACAGTCCATGGGATCACAGAGAGTCAGACATGACTTAGTGACTAAAACAAAAACAACAACAAATGTTAAATATGCCATCCTGTTGACTTAACTTTTAAGCATCTTGCATCACTGTCAAATTTTACCCCAGATCAAGTTAGATGGTTAGAACCCTTCAAAATTGAGAAAAGCTTGAATTGAAAAATCTTCTGGTAAGCATCCTACTGAAAGCAAGCATAATCATTAGCATTACCCCATGTCATTTCTTTTTTTTTTTCCCATGTCATTTCTTATACTGTATTATGTGGCAGTTTAACCTTGCCACTTAGTGGCTCCATGATTTTTGAACCTTGGTTTCTTCATTAGCACAACGAGGGTTGTATAACATCTTCCTAGAGGACAGGTTGTTATTTACATTAAGTGACCTGACTTACACAGAGCTTAAGATAGTGCCCAGAAAGCACTATCTCTTATTGTGCTCTAGCTCTTATTGTTTATATTATGCCCTAGACTAAGTATTTCACTTTGATTATTTTATTTAGTTTTTCTTACAACCTAGGAAGTTTTACAAAAGGCAAAACCAAGGAGTAGAGGTACTAATTACTTGCCCAAGATACAAGATTAAGTGTTTACCTGGCTCTAAAACCAGGCAGTTAACCACTGCAGTCCAGTACTCTATGTAAGTGTGTGCATGCAGGGAGGTGTACATGATATTCACAGCAAAGTTTCTGTCTTTGAGAAATGGTCAGGAAGTGCTCTAAGACCTACTGGATAGAGTAAAAACAGGCTAGAAGATGAATTATCTTTCCCTTTGATTAATTTTGTTCTTATAAGCTTTGAGTTATTCATAAAATATGAGTCATACTGATTCTATATGAAATGATCTCTAAATCCTTTACCTTCTCATTCACATCAGGCGGATAGGCACTCTTTCTGTTAGTTGCCTATTATATAATTCACTAATTTGCAAGGCATCTAAAAATTTTCCTTCAGTCTTAGTTAATCTCCAGAATTCAAATCTCACTGTTGAGCAAAAATGTAGTAAGTGTGTGCAGCAGGAGACACATTTTTGTTTTAAAGGCTAACTAACATTTTTACTTCTGAATCATGGCTTATACAGCTTAGCTCCATTGGAAAGTTAGGTGGAATTTGGGGAGTGCAGAATAGTTTTTTGGATAAATGTCAATGAGGTTAGGCTTTTGCAAAGAAAACGGGGAATTATCTTCTGGAAACTTCTGTTTCTGGTGTCATATAAAAGTCTCTGAAGAATTCATGTACAAAGGGTCGGATATAATACACTATATAAGATAACACATTGTAGCTCCTTCACTCCTATAATGGGGTGAGGTTTTCAGGATATGAAACCCATTGCAAACTTCCTTGTGGGGAGAGAGAATGAGGGGTAAATGCATTGGCTTTGTGTATGCTTGTGTGTCTGTGTGTGTGTGTGTCTGTGTGTGCACGTGTGTCTGTGTGTAAGCCTTAATCTTATTTCTTTTTTAAAATTAAAATTTTTAACCTTTATTTTTTGTAAATTTATTTATCTTTTAATTGAAGGATAATTGCTTTACAGAATTTTGTTGTTTTCTGTCAAACATCAAGATGAATCAGCCATAGGTATACATATGGCCCCTCCTCTTGAACCTCCCTCCCCATCCCACCCCTCTAAATTGTTACAGAGCCCCGGTTTGAGTTCCCTGAGTCACAGAGCAAATCCCCATTGGCTATTTATTTTACATTTGATAGTGCATATGCTTCCATGTTACTCTCTCCATCCATCCTGCCTTCTCCTTCCTTCCCCGCCCCTGTGTGCATAAGTCTGTTCTTACATTGGTTTTTGTGCGTAAGTAGCCTGGGTCTTAAGAAGCAGGCTTAGGAGCTGACTCTCAGCTCTTCCACTTCTCCAGACAGGCTGCTGTGGTCAGCAGCTGGCTGCCAGCAACTCTGAAGATGATCCATTTGAGTCCCTCATCCCACAAGGGTCCCCTAAAACTTCTGGACTTCACGTCAGTTGGACCAATTTGGATCAGACTCTCTTCTCTCTCGAATGCACTCAGTCACTCATTCAGGGGAATGGGGTTGTGTGGATAGCTTAGTTCTGAGGCAGAGGCTCTCCTCTCCTGAATCCTTAGGTCTTTTCTGGACTCAGACTCTCTTGGGACTCCTGGGGAGGGGGAACAAGAATCCCCAGGGAAGAACAGTGAGGGGACAAATTACGGGTAGCACAAATGACTGATGGCCACCAAAGAAAATAAAATAATACAATGCAGGAGACCTGAGTTCGATCCCTGGGTCAGGAAGATCCTGTGGAGAAGGGAATGGCAACCCACTCCAGTATTCTTGCGTGGAGAACTCCATGGACAGAGGAGCCTGGTGGGCTACAGTCCATGAGGTCACAAAGAGTCGGACATGACTGAGGGACTCAGCATGCATGAATGTATTCACCGGAGAGTTATAATCACAAGTTCACTTCTCCACATGTAACCCTTCCTCAGGGCCGGGATGGACGTGTGCTGAGGGGGTTGCAGGGGGTGGTTTGCTAGATCCAGTGAGGGTGGTGGGCAAAGCTTCCCTGAGGGGTGAGACCTGGCCCTGCCTGAGCTGGATAGCCCAGAAGGAGGTAGCCAGGTGGAGACAAGAGGAAAGTGTTCCGAATGGAGGAGATGATGGGTGAGAATGTGTAGAATAGCATTTTCTTGGCCATCATGTTCAGAAAGCACCCTATGGTCCCATGTGGCTGGAGAGAAGGGAGGGGGTTGGGGGAAGAGGATGGGCAGGTGGGCAGAGGCTACATCCTCAGGCACATGGTCAGCCACTGCGGGGCAAGCACCATGAGGACAGGGACCGTTTTTGGTCCACTCCTGTATTCCTAGTACCTACAACAATGTCTGGCTGTGGTAGGCAAAAACCATTCTTGGGTGAATGAGCAAAAGCCTTGCCAAGTAGCTTCTATTTTATCCTGATTATAATCAGCAGTCACTGATAGAGCCTCTGAATGGTAGTGGCATGTACAATTTGCATTATGAGATCAAAACAGGGGATATACATGGAGGTGTTTTGTAAAGTGGAAACTGTAGTATAATTATTGTCTGTGTAAGAAGGATGCTATGTGTCTCTCCATGTCTTTTCTTACACGACCTCTTGTCAGTGAAGACTGCCTGATGATTCTCAGAGCCCAGGATATGTGTTTTTGAGAGATTGATATTAGGGTACATAGTAGATGCTCAGTAATGAATGAATGTCTGAATACATGATCAGGAATGTCAGTGTTTATTCATTCACCAAGTATTTAGTGAATGCATACCGTGGGCTACCCTATTCTCCACTTGGCAGTTTTAATCCTACAGTCTCACTCCTTAGTGGATGTATCTGTTGTTGGGTGTCTGACATAAATTAAGGGGGTTTTCCTGGTAGCTCAGCTGGTAAAGAATCCACCTGTAATGCAGAAGACCCCGGTTCAATTCCTGGGTTGGGAAGATCCCCTGGAGAAGGGATAGGCTACCCATTCCAGTATTCTTGGGCTTTCCTGGTGACTCAGATGGTAAAGAATCTATCTGCCTGCAATGAGGGAGACCTAGGTTTGATCCCTAGGTTGGGGAGATCCCCTGAAGAAGGGAAGGGCTACCAGCTCCAGTATTCTGGCCTGGAGAATTCCACAGATATACAGTCCATGGGGTTGCAAAGAGTCGGACATGACTGAGCAACTTTCACTTTCATAACTTTGGGGACATTCTCAGTCATTATTGTTTCAAATATTTCTAGTATTTCATTCTCTCTCTCTTCTGGTATTTCCATTGTATGTCTATTACTCTTTCTGTAGTTGTCCCAGTTATCAGGTTGTCCATTCTGATTTGTAGGTTTTGTTTCAGCCTGTCTTTTCCTCTCTGCTTTTCTTTTTCAAGGATTTTATTGATATGTCCTCTAGCTCAGAGATTGTTTCCTCAGCTGTGTTTGGTCTACTAAGAAGCCCATTAAAGGCATTCTTTATTTCTGTTACAGTGCTTTTTTGTTTTTGTTTTTTAATCTTTTTGGCTCTTCTTTTAGGATTTTCATCTATCTTTTCAGATTGCCATCTGTTCTTGCATGCTATTTACTTTATCCATTAGAGTCTTTAGTATATTAATCAGAATTATTTTAAATTACTGGCCTGATAATTCCAACATCCCTGCCACGTCTGGTTCTGATACTTGCTCTGTCTTTTCACTGTGCTTTTTTACCTTTTGTAATGTCTTGAAATTTTTTTTCCCTGATAGCCAGGATGATGGAGGAGACATAGGAACAGCTGTAAATAATGCTTTATTAATGTGGTGGCAAGGGGTTGGGGGAAGGGAGTCATTCTAAAATTAGGTCTCAGTCTGAATGAGTCTATACCTTGAACTTCACAAGTGTTTACACTTTTTTCTCTCTCCTCTTAGGTGGAAGAGAATGGCTAGAGTGGGCTGGAGTTGAATACTTCACTTCTCTCACATGAAAGGCTAGAGGAAGCTGGAGTTGGGTATTCCTCTTCCACGGGCCAGTTCAGTCCAGTTGCTCAGTCATGTCTGACTCTTTGTGACCCCATGGACCACAGCATGTCAGGCCTCCCTGTCCATCACCAACTCCCAGAGTTTACCCAAACTCATGTCCATTGAGTTGGTGATGCCATCCAACCATCTCATCCTCTGTCAGTCCCTTCTCCTCTTGCCCTCAATCTTTCCCAGCATCAGGGTCTTTTCAAATGAGTCAGCTCTTCACATTAGGTGGCCAAAATATTGGAGTTTCAGCTTCCATAGGTCAGTTTGGCTATGATAATACACCAGCATGTTAGACTTGGGTTAGTTTCCCCAGAAAGAAGGTCTTTTTACTTTTTGGCCGCACATGTGGGAACCATTAAGTCTTTTTTTTTTCCCTCGGTGTAGGGGAAATCCTCTTTTGCTATTTCTTAGGATCACTTTTAGTGAGAGACAATACTATTTTCCCTGCATGATGTCAGATTTCCCTTAACAGTTTGATCATGTTTCAGTGATGCAGAGTCTCTTGCTTCTCAAGTGTTTGGAGCCAAATGTGTGACAAATAATCTTCCTGTTCATCAAGGTATTTGCTAATGTTCCTTGAAACTTGAAAACACCTAGCTCTCAATCTGTAACATTTTACAAATATTTCTTAGAAAGATGTGCTCTAAATAATCAAAATCTCTACAAATGCATTTCAATTGTTTCTTTGGCAAGAGAAGCTTCATTTTCTCTCAAGAGATTTATCTCAATCACTCAGCATTATGTTTCTCCTGAAAATTCTTCACTCCAACTGCACAACCTGTATTTCTTCAGTGAAAATCTGTACTTTCTTCCATCATATGGTCTAAGGACTTCTCTTAAAAAAAGGAAAAGTTGATGTTCTCTCTCTTAAAGATTGCAGAAATGACCATCCATAGGATGGATGTCCTGCAGTTTCTTGAAAAGACTTTGTATCCACTTAATGGCCAATAATTAGGGGACATACATTTCTACACACAAACAATTTGTTAGGCATTAAGCTTTATTTATTTATCTAACAGACATCTAGTGATTACTTACCACATGTTGGGTATTGTGCTAGGTACTGGAGATATAGTGTTCAAGATGGTGTATAAGGTCCTAGCTCTTCCAATTGACTAAGTATAGAAGAAGATAACAGAGAATTTGAGCACACAACTGCAGAATAGCATGGTGACTACTAGGATGTGGAAAGTACAGGCTGCCAGGACAGCAAGTAGTATGACTAATGATGATGATAGTAGCCAGCTTATGTTTAGGAACACTATGTCCTGGGCACTGTTACAATTTAAACTTCTCAGCGACTCTCTGACATTGGTACTTTTTATCATCTCCTTCTATGTGTGAGGAAACCAAGGTACAGAAAAATTAGGTAACTTGTCTAAAGTCCCACAACTAATAAGTGATAGAACCAATATTTAGGCGCACCTCTGATGGCTTCCCTGGTGGCGCAGATGGTAGAGAATCGACTTGCAATGCAGGACACCCAGGTTTGATCCCTGGGTCGGGAAGATCCCTGGGAGAAGGAAGTGTCAACTCACTCCAGTATTCTCACTTGGAGAATTCCATGGACAGAGGAGCTTGGCAGGTTACATGGGATCGCAAAGAGTCAGACATCACTGAGCAACTTTCACTTTCTTTTCTGGTAGCTCAGTGGTAAAGAATCTGCCTGCCAATGCAGGAGACACAGGTTCAATCCCTGGTCCAGGAAGATCTCTGGAGAAGGAAATGGAACCCACACCCGTATTCTTGCCTGAAAAGTCATGGACAAAGGATCTTGGCCGGTTATAGTCCATAGGGTCACAAGGAGTCAGACACGACTTAGTGACTGAACAACAACTACCCAGATTCAGTGACACGGAGAAGGCTTCTAGGAGGAAATGATGTGTAAGCTTGGAGTTGACAAAAGGTAGGCGTTTTCAGGAAAAAGAGTCAGAGGTGACACATCCGAGACAGAGGAAATAATGTACACAAACACTGGCATTAGGAAAGAACAAATAATGTTCCAAGAATTGAAAAAGGTTCAATTTTGCAAGAGGAAGAAGGGGTGAATTAGGCTGGAGTAAGAAAAGACAGACTGCGAAGGGTATTTGTTGTTGTTGTTGAGTTTATCAGTCATATCTGACTTGTTGTGACCCGATGGACTGCAGCACGCCAGGGTTCCCTGTCCTTCACTATCTCCTGGAGTTAGCTCAAACTCATGTCCATTGAGTTGATGATACCACCCAACCATCTCATCCACTGTTGCCCTCTTCTCCTCCTGCCTTCAATCTTTCCCAGCATCAGGGTCTTTTCCAGTGAGACAGCTCTTCACATCAGATGGCCAAAATACTGGAGCTTCAGCTTCAGCATAAGTCCTTCCAATGAATATTCAAGGTTGATTTCCTATAGGATTATTTGGTTTGATCTCTTTGCTGTTCAAGGGACTCTCAAGAGTCTGCTCCAGCACCACAATTTGAAAGCATCATTCTTTGGTGCTCAGTCTTCTTTATGGTCCAACTCTCACATCCATACATGACTACTGGAAAAACCATAGCTTTGACTATATGGATTTTTGTCAGCAAAGTGATATTTCTGTTTTTGAATACTCTGTCTAGGTTTGTTATAGCTTTTCTTCCAAGAAGAAAGCGTCTTTTAATTTCATGGCTGCAGTCACTGTCCACAATGATTTTGGAGCCCAAGAAAATAAAGCCTGTTATTGTTTCCATTTCTTTCCCATCTATTTGTCGTGAAGAGTATGAAAAATAAAGTGCTAGTTGTTCAGTTGTGTCCGACTCTGAGGCCCGATGGACTGTTGCTCACCAAGCTCCTCTGTCCATGGAATTCTCCAGGCAAGAATACTGGAGTGGGTTACCATGTCCTTCTCCAGGGGATCTTTCCAACCCAGGGATTGAACCTGGGTCTCCCGCATTGCAGGCAGATTCTTTACCATCTGAGCCACCAGGGAAGTCCCGAAGGGTATGGTGGTCTATTTAAGGGATTTGATTTTATCTTAAGAAGAGTAGGGAGCCACTTGAAGCAGGAGGGTGACATGATCAAAACTGTTTTCAAAGCTTCTCTGGTTGTGGAGTGGAGAATGGATCAGAGGGAGGCCAGGAGTACCCATGAGGTGTCCCTACAGATGGCTGTTGCAGTATTTCAACCAGTGATGCCAACATCTACCCTAGGGTTAATGGCAGTGGACATGGAGGGACAGGAAGACCTGAGAAGTCTTTGGAAGACAGAGTCCATGAGAATGGGTGACATGGAGGATGAGGAAGGGAAAATGAGGCTCTTGCTTGGCTAGTATATAAATGATGCCAGGTTCTATGAGAGGGAGGAGAGTTAGCAGAATAGATTTAGTGAGAGGAGGGCGGTAAGTTCACCTTCGGACATGTTGAGTTTTAGGAGCTTGTGCCTAGATGATGGTTGGATAGATAAGTCTGAAGCTTAAGAGATGGATCTGAACTATAATGAGACTTTCTGATGCCTTCATCAGTCAGATAATAGTTGAAGGCATGGGATTCAATGAGATTTTCCTGACAGAGTGTGCAGACTGAGAAGAGAAGATGGCCCAGGTTAGCACTGAAGAACTATGTCCTGTGATGAAACTGAGAGGGGTGGATGGAAAAAGAAAATCCAGAAGAACGTGTTGACATAGAAATTTGAGGAGAAATCTTCAAATGTAAAGGAGAAGGGTCAGCCTTGTAAAATTCCAATAGAGTTCAAGTAAAAATTAGTGACACAGAGGCTCCTCTAGATTGCATAGTCTAATATCAATCCTGAACAATTTCTGAGTATGTAAATAGCCAGATTTGAGTTCCGGAAGAGAAAAACTTTATTGGATTAAATAAAAAGGTAGACTATAATGTCCAGAAAGCAAAGGTGGCAGCTCATCCTGTTGAAGGACTGTACCTCTTACTTCTATTCAGTTCAACTGACTTTATTGAAAGTCTTCGTGAGCACAGCATGGCAGAAGGCTGAGTATGATGTAATCTGTTCTTGGCACTTAGCTAATGGAAAACATTAACTCTTCTTGTCCCGTAGGTCCAGTTGAATCCAGGGCTTGATGTGAGGAACGGCGAGCCTCCTTTTCTGAACAGCACCTTGGGAGCTGACACTCTTCCCCACAGCTCCAGGCTGACCCCTGTCTCTGCAATTAGGACCCTAGAGCTGAGGAGTCGAAGGAGTCGGGGCAGGAGGTTCAAGGTGGGCTCCGTGGAGCGGCCTGAGCCTGGTGGGCGGCCAGTGTCAGACAGTTCCGGTGACACTTCGTGGAAAAGCCCTGGCGGCTCAGCTCAGCCCAGCAGCGCAGCCACGGACTCCCAGCCACAACTGTCCTCTCTTCACCTCGAACCCGGGGCCAGAATGAAGGTCCTCGGCCGGGAAAACAGCTTCGAGAAGCTGGAGGCAGAGACCAATGTTGACACTGGATTCACCGTGGTCAGTTCTGAACCCAGGCCATCTTCTGAGAGCAGATTTCCGAGGAATCTTCCGACCCACCAACCACCATCCTGCTTGTCAACCTCTTTTTCAGGGTCAGCTGCTTCCAAAAACAACAGGATCTTTAAGGAAAGGGTTCACCCCCTGTCACTTGCTGGCCAAAGGGAACTTGGTGCTAAGAAGATACTCTCAAAATGTCCTCTTCCTCTGCCAGTCCAAGGTGAAGCAAAAGAAATGGAAGAAGAATTCTTTATATAGCATGAGATGACTGTCTTTCTAAAACTTGAGATCAAATAGGATGTTCTAGAAATGGAGCACTGACCCAGAATCAGCCTGTTTCTTGTTCATCTGAGGGGGCCTGAATATGAGCCATGCATGTATCTGCATCACTTTTATTTCAAATGTTCAAAGTCTAGCTGTGCTGTGAGGTGCTGATGAGTGGTTTTCATTCGCTGTCGTGGTCATGAGGGAATGCAACCAGCGCAAAGGGAAAAAGCCCAATGGCCCACGTCCCTGGGGACACTCTAACCCAGCTGGGTGTGTTGAGTTCAGCATCTATCAGGATAATTGCATTGTATGCAAATGAGTCGGATGTGTTATGCAATGCTGATTAGTGACTGTAATTTGGTTTTAATTTTTACTTGGGTTGCATAGCTCATGCCCCCGGGACAGCATTGGACTATTTATTCTTTAGTGTTTTTTTAATTTTTATGTGACCTCATTCGGTAACGAGGCCCTGTTCACCACGAACCCTCCAGTGATTTTTGCCTTGAAAGTTGTTTGCATCTGGAATGAGTTAACATGCAAAGCGTTTTGAAAATTGCAAACATTTTTTTTTTTTTCCTGTTTAATGAGCAGCAACCCTGGAAGCCAGAAAAATCAGGTTAAAAGTGAAAGCTAGGCTCCAGGGTTTTCTCGCTCCTCCATTTCTTGTTTGTTTCTGTACTACTCTAGTGGGGCCAGTGGTTCATATAATTAAGCGGAGAGGAGTGGTATGTGACTGGATGATTTGAAATCGCCACCGAGTGTGGCAGGAAGATTGCATTGGTTTGGTCACTAGAAAAGGACTTGGGTTCTTTTGGCCATGTACAAATTGCTAAATTCCCTTGTAATTCTCATTCATTCATTTATACATACACTGATGCAGCAGATTGTATCAACACCTCCCTTTGAATAGGATAATGACATATGGTGCACATAGGTTCTGTGGCCATCAAACCCAAAACGTGTTTATGATTTTGCCTTATGAGAAATCCATTCTATCAGCTTTTAAGAACATTCTGGAGAGCAAACGTTTCCCTGGGAAACATTTCCACAATTGATACCACACTTGCTGCATCAGATTGTATGAAGAATCTGTGGATGAAGATTGGGCATACTGTGAACTGCAGTTATAATCATAATGGACAGATACTTAATTGCTCACATGGTGTCTTGTTTCATTGGGTTGATACTCACATGTTCAAAAACATCTGAGGTCTGTGTGTTTCAGTTCATTTATAAGGTGATTTTATTTCAAGAACTTCATTTTCCAGAACAGATGTTAAGTGACTATAAATGCTGATTTAGCTGGATCTTTTGAAGACCCTAACACTTACTACACCCAACTGCAGAGAAGGGTGAGTTCAGACTTAAGGATGAATCTCATAGTAGCGAGATTGGACTGGGTTTAGGTGCTCTGACTGCCTAATAGAATAGAAACGGAAGACAGCTGAAAATGGACAAAGACAAGACTTATAAATGGATTTTTGTCCTGACACTATCAATATATTCTCATCCCCATCTTTTTCTTTCCCTCAGGTTAGAGTTAGATCTTAGAATGTGGAATGAAGAACTTGCTTTTAGTATGGTTTTCTATAGTAGGTGTTCAAAAAAATTAAAGTCTTATTTAAACTGAACTATTGAGCTGCCTTGAAAAGCACAGCAGGAAGTTCTGAGGTTTCTTTCTGGCTTTTTTTGAGGTTATCGAATTCCTTTAACATAATACATGGGTAAGAATAGAAGTACATGGAAATCATGAAGAATATAGAGGAATTTGAATGATAACTTACAAAATTGACTTGTAAAATAAGAGTGTGCTTGTAAAATGTCACCTTCTCTATCCTCCTGCTCATGACAGGAATTCAATTTACCACATGATAGGAGAGAAATTCCAGTGGGTAGGAGGGAAATACCAGTGGGTGGATGAGAAAGGCCCAAATTTGGGTCTCAGTTTTAAAATTTGCTGTTTATATGTGACCTTAAACCTTTAATCTTCTGTTGCCTTATCTACTGTACCAAGGTTGTTAGAAAAATCAACATTATGCATATGAAAGCATTTGGATATTGTTACACTGTAAACATGTAAGATATTATAATTTCAAATGATCCTTCATACCCATATTTTTAAATGTATTAACAATAAAGGATTTTTAAAAAGCAACCTTTAGTAAAAGAAAAAAAGAAAATCCAGTTCTCTCATATTTTTGCAATATGTGTCATTTATGTTTATATATCTGGAGGAAAATTATAGGATCAAATATATCCTAAAAGTTCAAAAGAGATTACATATAACAAGAGATAATCTATGAACTAGTCTAATCCAATTTATCAAATTATCCAGACTCTTCACTTACTTGTACTGTAGTTCCTGAAATGTAAAATGTATCATGAGGGACTTCTGATGATCAGATAATTTCATATTTTTTATAGGTATATTAAAACCCAGTTGCATTTCAGTTATTTGGCTCTTTTTAACCCCCATAGTATTCATATTTTTTTGCAAGCATTGTTTGGATATTGCTAAACATTAATAGAAATGGTAACATTTGGAAGCTTGCAAATGGGTTTGTTAGAGGAAGTTGTTTAGTTGCTGAGTCCATGGACTATAGCCCGCCAAGCTCCTCTGTCCATGGACTTTTCCAGGCAAGAATACTGGAGTAGGGTGCCATGGTCTTCCGGCAATATTCCCAGCCCAGGGATTGAACCTGCGTCTTCTGCGCTGCAGGTGGGTTCTTAACTAGGCAGCCACCAGGGAAGCCTGTTAAGGGGAGTAGAGAGGGAAGGAGCGGGAGACACCTTGATTGACAAAAGTCAGTGAGCAAGGGTCTCAGCTGCACCCCATCGTCCTTGGCCGTGTCACATCCAAGCTTGTACTGCTGGCCACATGACAGACCAATAAATCCAGAGACAGATTATTGACCCAAGGAATAATGATATTGTTCAGAAACTGAGACAATGGTGGACAAGTGTCCCAAAGAACCATCTTGCCTGGGTTTTGGAGGCTAGTTTCTTTTCTAGAACAAAGGTGGGGGCAGAGGTGAGGATGTAAAGTAAAAAGGCTGATACATTGTTGCAAACATTTCCGGTTCTGGGGACTCTAAAGGGGATGTATTCATTTCTTTCTTCCTGCAATCATTCTTAGGTGGGCTTGGTCAGGAGGTTTCCTGTGAACCGAGCAAAGATATCTTAGTTTAACATTAAGGCACAGGAGATGGGGTTCCCAGAGATGGGCCATTATTATACCTTAAGCTGTAGGCAACATCCTTTGCAGTGATTAACATGTAGCAAAAGTGATACAAAGGTTAGAATAAAAGAAACAAATCCAAAATGGAGTCAGATTTGTTCTCTATTACAGCAGGGCTTTGTGGAAGTGACCTTGGTCCTTTCACCACTGACAACAACCCAATTACAATTGGGAGGTGCTGGAAGCAGGGGTGGGAGGAGGTGAAAATCCCTTCCTTCCCTCCCAGGGAGAGATGCAGAAAGGGGAGGGAAAGCGGAGAGACAAGAATGGGTACAGACCCATTATCTGTTAATCAATCGGAAACTCCTAACTTTCATCTCATTGTTATAAAACCTAGTCAGAAATTCCTGGGATAACTTAACCTTAAACTTGGATGCCTTTTTTTCTTTTTTTTGACTGCCCAGGGGCTTCTCTAGTTGAAGAACCTGGGCTCAGTTGTCCCACGGAATGTGAGATCTTAGTTCCCCGACCAGGGATTAAACCCGCATTCCCTGCACTGGACTGAGTACCTCCTGGCTTGGTGGCTCGGATGGTGAAGAATCTACCTGCAATGCATAAGTCATGGGTTCAATCCCTGTGTCGGGAAGGTCCCCTAGAGAAGGGAATGGCTACCCACTCCAGTTTTCTTGCCTGGAGGATTCCATGCACAGAGAAGCCTGGCGGGCTCCAGTTCATGGGGTCACAAAGAGCTGGACACAACTGAGCGACTAACAATGCACTGGAAGGCAGATTCTTAACCACTGGACCACCGTGGAAGTCCCCCCACCCCTCCGCACCGCCCCCGATCCCAGCTATCTTTCTTGTCTTCTCTAAGCCACCGTGTTTTACCTCTCTTTACATTTTTCTTCTTTCCCCGAAGCCCTCCCTTTTCATTCCTTTGTCTTTCTTTTCCTTCTTCTCTCTTCCTTTTGTCTTTTCCTCCCTCTGTGTTTCTGTGGGGGTGGGAATTTGATACTCTCTTCATTCTTCCCTCTGTTTAAAATACTTTGCCTTTGCAGCATCTCCCAAGATTCCTCAAGGGTTGACCGGTAGCTAGAATTTCTGACAGCTTGTCTTGGCTCACCAGGGAGAGGATCAGAAGGAAGGTTTACTTTTTCTCTGAGGACATTCTCTCCACCTTCCCATTCATTGCTGGGATCCTGCTCTGGGACTGCTCCACTTGCGTCACTTAGAAACGAGCCTGTCTTTCCTCCCATGGCTTGCTCCTTCCTTTCGCATCTCTCCAACCTTCCTTTGAGGTCTGAAGGTATTTCCTGAGCATATCTCACAATTAGCAATTTAAAATATTGTCCATCATTTGTGATAGGAAAACAAAAGGCGCTTATGGTTCCAGAGGGCACATAATGAAGATTTATGTTATTAAGAACTCTAGCCTGCTAAACTTTGTTTCAAAAATATTGAGAAATCTAGTTATTCCAGAGAATCTATCTGACACAGTAAGGTCCTGCTTAGCATGAACAAGGTATCCTATTAGAAGATTCCATTTGCCAGAGGTGATTCTGAGGTGTTTAAGAACAATAATTATAAAGAAGAACAATAATACTAAATCTTGAACTGATGATGGCTGACTTAAGAACCCCTTTCCTAGGTGGGAGTTTCTCGCCTATGTATTTCCCACTTTACACCAAGCCTGTAAGGTAGGTGCTACAATGATCCCCATTTCACAGATAAGAAAACCGAGGTACAGAGAGGTCAAGAGCCTAATCAGGAAGGGAGATCTCTGTTTCCATGTGATGCCTCCCTGCCTCCACAC